ATGCGCATCCCTATTAGAATTTCCATATCCCTTCTATTGTTTTATTTAACCAACATAAGTCACATTAAAAAGAGGAAATACCTTATCATTTATATTTCCATTTCCATATATTATGCTATAAATAAGTACTGAATGTTTATAAATACATCACAAAAATAAAGTGGCCTAATTGCTTCATATATATTTATAAGCCAGTATAAGTCTTAAGTGAACTAACACTTTGAATTACAATGAAGAAAAACCTACACAAATAAGGAAAATAATTTAATACATATTTCTCTACTTAATAAATCTATAGATACACATATGCATATAGACATATGTCCAAATGCTAATTTTGTGTACATATGTATAACAAATAAAATTTGCTGGTGAGCATACAGGGAGGCTGGAATCCTTGTGGCTTCCTTGCAGCATTATAAAATGGTACATCCATTATGAAAAACCAATTTAAACTATGTCAAAAGAAACACCTAAAAACGTTGTTAGAAGAAACATGCCATACATACACAGATACACACTCTCAATATAAATAAGAACATATGTAAGAAAATAAACACAGATGAAGGATCATAGAAACATTTTACAGAATGGGAATAAAATTCGTAAAAAAAATAAATGTATATGTATTCATGGATGACCAAGTACTATGTGATAATATTCACATTATACAATAAAGAGCATAACACTAAAAAGCAATGAAAACTTTTATTAACTATAGTATAAACATTTAAATATCACATATTGATTGAAAACAAAATAACTATACACTAAAGACCAGACGACATATGATTTCATTTATATAAACTGTATAGTATACAAAAAATACATGGAGAACAACAACAAAAAAAAAATCAAATAGCAACTACAAAAAGAAAAATTAGACTAGATGAGTGTGTTCTAAGGAGTATGGGGAGACTATTAAGAAATCAATAGTGTGTTTGGCGTGATTTTTATTTGAAGATAATGAAAGTATTGCTATCAAATTGTTTTTAGTTAATTTGTATTTAAATGAAAAACAATATTATTTTACATACCAATCCCAGTTTCCTCTCCTTCCCCGCCCCCCTCCTCCCCCCTATCCCTCAATCCCACCTCCCATCCACCACTCTGGGAGCCATGATCAAATCTGTCACATCAATTTGGACAGTATCTAGGCCCTCCCCCCTATACCTCGTCTGACAGAGTTTGGCTCCCAAAGTCCATTCCTGCACTAGGGATAAACACTGGTTCCACTGCCAGAGGCCCCATTAACTGCCCAAGACCCCCAACTGACACCCAGGTTCATGGGTCCTGGTTTGGTCTTATGCTGGTTCCTCAGCTGTCAGTCTGGGGTCCAAAAGCTCTCACTTACTCAAGTCAGCTGTTTCTCTGGGTTCCCCAGCATTTTCTTGACCCCTTTGTTCATCACTTTTTCCTCTCTACAACTGGGTTCCAGGAGTTTGGCACAGTGCTTTATCTGTGAATCTCTGCTTCTGCTTCCATCAGCTGCTGGGTGAAGGCTCTATGATGGCATTTAACGTAGTCTTCAATCTCATTATAGGGGAAGAGCATTTAGGGTATCCTCCCCACTATTCCTTAGATTCTTAGTTGGAGTCATCTTTGTGGAACTCTGAACATTTCCCTACTGCCAGGTTTAGGGTTAACCCCATAATGGCTCCCTTTATTAAGGTATCTCTTCTCAACAGAGGAATCTCAAATGGCCGAAAGGCATTTAAATTGTTTAACATCCTTAGCCATCAGGGAAGTGCAAATCAAAACAACTCTAAGATACCATCTTACACCTGTCAGAATGGCTAGAGTCAGAGAACAGGAAAGAAAATTTATTTTACAACATTTTTCATACCACTTAAAATATAGAACAAAGGATTGCTAGCCTACAATCCTCTTCACCAAAGGAACTAGGAAACAAGAAGGATTCTAAGAGAAAAAATGCATGGTCCCTGGAAAATGGGAAGGGCCAGGATCTCCTAAGCTAATTGGGACCATGAAGGTAGGGGAGAGGGAGCTGGCAGAATGTGAGGAGGAGAAGAGGAGGGGAGAGGAGGAAAAGGAGGAACAGAAAGGTTGAGTTGGGGAAAAAATAGGGGAGAGAAGGATGAGAGTTATCATAACAGAGGGAGCCATTATAGGTCCCAAGAGAGATATGGCACTAGGGAGATTTCCAGAGACCTACAAGTATGACACTAAAGGACAATCCAGGCAATGTTGGAGAGGATAACCTAAATGCACTTCCCCTAAAATGAGATTGATGACTACTCTTTATGCCATCCTATATGCCATCCTAGAGCCCTCATCCAGTGGTTGATGGAAGCAGAGGCAAATACCCACAGCTATACACTGAAATGAACTCTGGAACCCAGTTGCAGAGAGGGAGAAATGAAGATCAAGGGGGTCAGGACCAGGCTGGTGAATCCCACAGAAACAGCTGACCTGAACAATGGGGAGCACATGGACATCAGATGGCTGTCTGGGAGACCATAATGGGACTGATCCAGACCCCTGAAAGTGGATGTCAACGAGGAGGCCTCGGCACCCTATGGGGCCTCTGGTAGTGGATCAGTGATTTTCCCTGGTGTAAGAAGGGACTTTGGGGGCCCATCCCACGTGAAGGGATGCACTCTAGGCCTGGACTCATGGGGGAGGGCCTAGGCCAAGACCAGAATGATTTTGTGGAATTTGGGGAACCCCCGTGTTAAGCCCTACCCTCCATGGGGAGCAGAGGGGGAGGAGGTAGGGGGTGGTTGGGGGTTTGTGGGGAGAGGGAGAAGGGGTTGGCATGTGAAATTATAATTTTATAAAAAGTAAATAAAAAACAAATACAAAAAATCTCTGGACCTAAAATCCTTTTAAGCCACTACTGGATGATTGTTTCTATTGAGAATTGAAATAGCTTCAAATGTGTACCATCTAACTGCCACTTCATATGAAGATTTTTGCTAATCTCTCATTTTTTCACTATGGTTTCACTATGAAGCACATGTGAAAGCCTTCATCAGTAATCTTGTGGAGCCTCTAAATATGTATGTATTAATGACCCATTATCCATGATGTCATTTGACCATATTTCTATTCCTCTTTCATTCCTCCTTGCAGGCTGGGATGGCATTACTAACTGCACATCAATTTCCCTTGAACAAAGTTATTCATGAAAGAAATTTATTTTGACTTATGATTCCAGAGGGACAAAAGTCCATAATTGTAGGACAACTTAGCAGCAAGCAGCAGGCAGGGAAGCAGGAACAGGTGGCAGACAGCTCATATCTTGAACTGCAAGCACAAAATAGAAATGGTGAAACTGGAAGAGGCAGGAGTATTTTAAATTCTCAGACCCACCTCCAATTTCATAGTCCTCCCAGCAAGACCATCCCACTTCAACCTCTTCTAGTAGTGACTCTAAGGACCAAATGTTTCAAATATCTGGGCCTATGAGGGCCAGTCTCATTCAAGACATTATACTTCAGATTAGGTATTCAGTGAGAAAAGGAGTTAAGACCAAGCAGAGGAAATCCTACATATTCAATGACACATACCACTTGACACATGTACAGATATTATTCAGAGAAGAACTGCATGGTCATGACTATTAATACTAAAGATGGGAATGTTAGACTTAGCAGGTTATATTTTCTAAATATAAATACACTATCCCCCATTTTCCATGAGATGATGTTGCTGAATTCTGCAAAAAAATTACAAAAAGTAATCAAAGTTTTTATCTTATCCATAGATTGCTAGAAGTCTGAATATCCATGAAGTTTACCACCTTTAGAAAAAGTGCTGTGAAAACACCTAGTATGATGGCAAAATTTATATTTAAAATTGGCTGCATCTGGAATCAGCTATAACCTAAGCTGCTAGGCACTCCTGTGATGAATTGTATTTATTAAATTTATTT